ATATATAGATTTAGCCAGGGCCGGGGGGGGGGGGGGATTTTTTTTCCTCCTCCTCCTCCCCCACGCCCCCCCCCCCCCCCCCGCCGGTGGAACCTCTCCTCCTACACGAAATTTTTTTTTTGGTTTTTTGTTTTTTTTCCCCCCCCAACACCCCCCCCGGGTTTTTTTTAAAAAAATTATATGGTTCAGCGGGGGGGGGGGGGGGGGGGGGAAGGTGTCTCCTTAGTACAGTCCGCCTGACAGTATGACGTCACGTCTCGCGTCGGTGACTTTCGCGGAGCAAAGTGTTTATCGAAAGGACGGATAAAAATTTCGATTTTATCACGGAAATACTGTTCCGATGTCTTGGATTTGGAGATTTTTTATTGTCATAAAAAACTAGACTTGAGTACTTTTTTGGAATGAAATGTCCAGTGGTGTAATGAATTTTAAAGATTCCTCTCATTACTACCCTCCGCACAGCGCGCAAAGCGCGAATGGAAACACAACGACATATGTGGAGTGTGACTCTTGCTGGGTGCCTAATGGACACAATGGACCAGCGCGTGCTTTATTGACAAGATATCTTAGCAATATAGTTCAACAATACAAATGATCTTAAAAGTACTATCAAAAAATTACAGAATAAATATAATTTCTACATAAACAAACATTTATATCATATGGAACGTGACAGAAAGTAGAATCAAAGGAATGATACACTACCCGGTACGAAAACCCGGAATAAAAAACCCATTGGGACAAAAAAAACCGGGAACGCAATCCTCGATCGAATGTAGTGTATCGAGCTCCGAGGATTAGAGCTTTAGACTAACTTAGGAACTAATAATAAGTTTGGTCACCGACACAGCTGTCCAAGAGGCGAGATAGCCAAAAACGATTCTACGTCGACATTTATACAAATATTCATAGAGTATAATCAAATGTAGTTACGTAACCTCTATTAAAAGACTGAGTAATTAAGGACAACACGTTGACACAAATGTGACAAGAATGTTATACGAACCGTAATGAAACAGCTTTTCAACTACACGGTGTTACGTTGAAAAGCATTTATTCATTACTACCCTCCGCGCAGCGCGCAGCGCGCGAATGAAAACACAACGACATATATGGAGTGTGACTCTTGCTGGGTGCCTAATGGACACAATGGACCAGCGCGAGAGAAAAAACAAAGGCGAGAAACAAACGTGCGGGAAAAAAGCAGCCTACTTCAAAAAAGCAAAAAAGTTAAAAATGGATTGCTCTGGATACCATTAACTTATCTTTGGTACTATCATTTCTTTAACTATCCTTAGATTTGGCCGACTTCCAGCCAGCATGCCTATCCAGAAACTCTCCAGAAATACCAGCAGCGTTTGATGCGGTAGCGCCGCCCTTTTTGAGGCTATGAGTGCCGTATCTGTCAACATCTTTGACAAAAATTCTTATAGTCTCGCGGAAAATTTCCCTAACTCTAGAATTAAGAGATAGAATGTTGAAGGGCAGTGCCTTTGGATGAAAGTCTACAACCTAAAGGCTGAACAGGATTATCAGGCAATTTAGATAACATTTTTTCAGTGATGGAAACAGGACATGTAATCTTGTCTGACCTTGCAAAATAAACGAAATGCCCTTGAGAACGTTGATCATTCTTACGCTTAGGACAAAAAAATGACATATGATCAGAAAAAATAGAAATATGACTTCTGTTGATGCGAATAACTTCGCCACACAGCATGAGACCAGCAAAAGCAATAATAAATATAAAACAGGTTCGAGACCGAAATTGACGCCTTGAAAGTAAGATTTTTGGAGGAGCAGGAGAAAGTAATTGCCCTTGAAAATTATTCCCGGCGGGAAAATCTACGTTTCATGAACGTACCAGAACAAGAAGGTGAAAACTGTGCGAACATTATTTACGATATCATCGAAAACGAGCTAAACATGGATGTTGAGAATCTTCAATTCCATGCAATTCATAGAGTGGGAAAACGGCGTTCGTCGGATGAGACATCGAAAGCTTATCCAAGGCCAATCATTGCCCGTTTTCTGTGCAGAGAGGACAGAGATATGGTACTAAAAGCGAAGGGAAGGCTGCGAAACTCTTCACAATATGAAAACGTGTATATTACTCAA